CCCAGCCTGCAGAGAGGACTCATTCCTGTCACCCTCATGGACCTCCAGTCTCTAGACCAAGGTGTGCACTGCCTGACAGGGGAGCATTTATGTGTTTAAAAAATGCAGAACCTCACCAGGTCTTGTAAACTCTGAAGGTTTACCTCTAAACTGTGGTGAAAACTGCACATTTTAATAGCGAGAAGTCATTTTTGATAAGCAAATTGCAGTCACTCTTGCTAAAGCAATGAAAGGGAAATTGCACTTTTTTAGGCCGGGGTAGACCTTCATGTCCTTCTTACTGCCTCACAAAAGGCAACTATAGCAACTTTTCCCCGAAATGCTTCCTGCTCCTGAATAATAATAATTATCACTGTCTAGACAGAGCAAGGGCTGATAGAAATTGGCTTTTTCCAAACTCTCTCCAACCCCCTAATGGACTCCCCCTTGTCCCGTGGAGCAGCCGCTGACACCGTGGTGTTGAGAACGTGGGCTTTTCCAGAGTTCTCCAAAATTCATACAGTAAATATAAAAATTCTGCCCATTTGACGTCTCCTCAGACATTTCTTCTTTCAAACTCAACCAAGTCATTACAAAAAGGCAGCACCAGATGTATGAAAAATAGGCAATGTATGACCGATTAGAAATATATAAAGTCATAGCTTTACATTATAAAGATGTAAGAAAGAAGCGATGAAGGGACAGCGGCAGCCAACAGAAGCGTTGTTCCTAATGCTGGAGGGACCAGCCGAAGGAGCTGCCGGAGCCCCCAGGAGCTGCGCGGCCCGGCTTTCCCAGGGCCAGGCAGGTGGCAGGCGACTGAGGTATAGAGGAGGCGATGGAGCAATCTGGACCCCCTGCAGCCCAGCCAACCTGTGAAGATGGCCCGCGAACGCCCGGCCCGCAGCCCCGCGCAGGCAGCCGCCGCGCACAGCGTCCCAGCAGCGAGGCTGTGTCCCCGCAGACGCATCTTCCTCGGTCCACACGGGGGGCGGGGGGTGGGGGGCAGACGTCTGTCCAGGAACAAGCCCAGGGTGTGCTCTCGGCCAGGGGCTGGGGGTGAAGGCACGACCTCCACACCCCTGGGCCCCCACCCCAGGCCACGGTGCCCCCTACCAGGGGCCCTGGAAGGGCCCCGAGTCCTCGGGGGCCGGGCTGTCTCCCTGGTGAGCGGGTGTGGGGGGCTCATCCTCAGAAGCTCTCGACGAAGCTGCCTGGGAAGAGGCCCGTGCGGCCGTTCCTCTGCAGGGTCCCCTTGTACCAGCCGTCCTCCCGCTTCTTGTGCACAAAGACGACGTCACCTTCTTTCAGCTCTATCTCCGCCTCGCTCTGCGGCGGGTACGAGACCACCACCCGGTACCTGGGGGGACAGACGCCGCCGTGGGTAAGTGACCCGGCGGCTGGAGGATGACCCAGGGTCTGACCCACCGTCTGGGGGAAGATCTCTCTTATCTTTTCCTCCTTACCCTCTGGTGCAAATTGCTGTAATTTGGGGCTACTTTTCCCACTTAAAAACTTTTTCATTTATTAAAAATTTGACAGTAGCCTTTACGTGTGATACCTTTCAGACCCTGATCTGTGCAGCTGGGATGCTTCCGCCCAGATGCAGCCCCTCCGTGTCACACCCTCCCTCAGGCCACCTCCGGCTGCGGCCTCCGGGGGCAGGGACGGAGAAAGGCAGGCACCTGGCAGGGGCGCACGTGGCTGTGTCCCATCTTCTGTCCCATCCTGGCACAGGACCCTGACCTGGTGCCCTCAGCTCCCTCTTCAGAGGGTCAGCTCCTCTGAAGATTGGGCAGGTGGGGGACGCCTCTCAGGCAGGTGCCCGCCGGAGGTGTGAAAGATGCTCTGAACAGTGTTGGAAAATGGCCGTTCTTTTAAAATGTGCTCCCAAACCATTAGATGTTGTGGCCATAGCACCTGAACTGGCTGAGATCACATCACAGAGGCCCTATTTTTCATACACCTCATTCCTGCAGAACCTGGGCACCCCCTGCAGCCTCCGAACTCTGTACCCTTCATTTTCAGACCAACATGACATATGATCCCAGTGGTAACATGACCTGCTGGTCACCTGGAGGGGATGCTGTGGGCCTGAGCTCCGAGGAGACCAAGCACAGACCCCCGAGGGCCCCAAGGGCCTCAGCAGGTGCAGGGGGTGGGTGGACACCGGGTGCTGTCCCTGAGAGCTGGCCCCCACAGCTTCCTAGACCTGAGACAAGGATGTGAGCCTTTTTGGCATCTTGCCAAGAGCCCTGGTGTCAGCATGGGGTGGGTCTCGCACCCCCCCACAGCTGTCCCATAGCCCCAGAGGGGGAGGAAGGCGGAAAAGAAGCCATGCTCACTCTGAGGACCCGCCTTCTTCTAAAACACCAAGGACCAGCCAGCCTGCGCCCTTGTGCCCGCAGCGCTCACTGCCCCAGCCTGACAGAAACTGCCCTGTCCCCACCACTCCAGTCACCTGTACCTTCCTTGACCCTCAGGGGACTCACAGAGGTGTATGTGCCCTGACATCAACTGTGTCCTACCCCCTCAACCTGCCCCACTGGTGGCAATGTGCAGGCTGTGCTGAGAGGAGCCTTCCCGCCCTGCTGGGCATGGGAGCTGGGCTCCTGGACAGAGACCAAGTGCTAAATGGGCACAGGTTTGGAAGCCACTCTCAGCCCCTGAAAACCCCTTGCTGAAAGTTGCTCCAGACAGGGGTAGGCTGAGGCACTGGGGGGCACTCGGCCCAGCTAGGCCAAGGTGCTCAGTAATCCTTCCTCCACTGACCAGGACCATCCCGAGGGCCGAGCCGGGCCGCCCGGGAGGGCACACATCCAGTCACTCTAGGCCACAGGCTCCCCGTGACCTCGCTGTGGTCTCCATGGGTCACTCTCGGGTTGCTGCACTGCTGGTCCATGCCGAGGGGACTGGTGGATCGAAGAGTGGAGCTGCTGGGGGAGTGGAGGGGCAGAGAGGGAGGAGCTGGGTGACAGCCAGCTGAGGGCCCAGAGTTTCTGCTGCTGGTGGAGGGAGGGGCTGGGCGGTGGGGCCAGCAGGACCTGCAGCCCATCCACAGCAGCCTCCCAGCAGACAGCTCCTACCCCCTCAGCTCACAGTCACAGCTGACCAGGCCCCGCGACACCCCTCTGTGTGCAATAAAGGACCCTTTGGCCACAGTCACACAGGTGTCCTGGCAGCAGGCTGTCCTGAGGAGCCTTTCACCTGGTATATTCTGGTCTTTATGAAACCAGGACATTCATTATAAAACAAAAGATCCCAAGTCAGCATTTCTCAGAGTGGCCCACAGAGGTCAGGACCTCAGCCCAGATTGCAGCATCCATCCTGTACCTACCTGCTGAGACACTGGGGGGATGGAGCAGGGAATGTGGATTTTCAACAAATTCTAGGTGGGGTGTTTGCATATGAATGTCTGAGAATCAAGGTGCTGTGTAAGAAAATACCGAGAAGACCTGTCTTCCCTCAGCCCCACCTGCTCGCAGGGCCTGGGCACCGGCCCGTCTGGCTGGAGCAGAGAAGCCATGGCCAGGGCAGCAGGAGCTGGCTTTGGGCTCCTCGGGATGGTGCACAAGCGGAGAGGACCCAGGCCCAGCCTTGGTGCTGCAGCCCCTGTGCACAAAGCCCCGTCTGTTCCGGGCAGGTGAGCTGAGGGCAGAGAGGAAGGTGGCTCCTGGGGCTAACTTGCCAGGCGTGCAAGTTCCTGCTGCCGAGGGAGCAGGCCAGCCGGGTGCATTGCGGGCCTTGGAATGGTGGCAGGTGCAGGAGGGCTGGGCCAGTTTCTCCTGCTGCCCCCAGGGGCCAAAAGCTGGATTTTGGGATGTGCAGGAGGAGAGAGAGCAGAATGTAAGTCCCACCCTCCCCCAAGGCCACTGATGCAAACCGCTGCCTGCCAGGCCACTCCCTGGAGCAGGACAGATGGCCGCAGGGAGGCTGCCAGGAGGCATCAGTGGCCGGAGAGATCAGCCAGCTCTGCACACAGACTGTGCCATCCCAGGCTCAGGCACTTGGGCTGCGTGTGCCACACCAAGACCAGCCACGGTCCTCCCTGGGGCTTTCTACTGTCCTCGCCTCCTTTCCAAATACCAGCCTTCGTCTCTCAGTTCCCCAAGGAAAAGAAAGGCAAAGAGTGAGATGATTTCTCAGACTCTGAACAAAAGTTTTGGCTTTTCCCTCAACTGCCAGATGTGAAACAAACAAGCAAATTAAAAAATGTAATCTGTTAGGGGAAAAAAAAGTAATTTGGTGCTCCTGAGCAATTAAATGATTTAATGAGCCTAGATGAATGATGTGGGCTGAATATATATGAGACAAGCACTTAATGTTTCTGTCCAGGTCAGTCCAAGACTCCCAGCTATTCTTCCTGCTGCATAAAAGAAATTGGCATTTCCTGTCATAGACACCAAAGGACACTTGAGGAGAACAGCTACTCCCGGGCCATGATCACGGCATCATAAATCAAGGAGAGGCTGTCCTGTGCTGAGATGAGGTTATGTTAACCCCAGCTGGTTTCTGGACATAAGACTCAGGGAATCAAAATATTTAAAATCAGAATGAATTCTCACCAGTGCATATTGCAATTCACCTTATGTGTGAGGTTTGGAGTGTCCTCCCCATGGCATCTGCTCTCCTCCCTGACAACAGGGGCCACAAGGGGGCCCTCCCCTGGCAGGCTTTTTGGAGCAGTTGCATCAGCACTACGGAGGACATGTGGCCCCCGAGTCACTGGATTGTCATCACAGAGCAGTGTCCTGCTAGGAACTTGGTAATGTTAAGGACACATCCATACCCTGGACACCACTTCTAATATCAACGTGTTTCAGTTGCCTATTGCTGTTATAACAAATTTCCGCAAACTTAGTGGATAATAAAACACAAATTTCTTAGCTCACAATTCTTTTAAGTCATCCCACACAGTATCACGGGTAAAATCAAGGTCTCAGCAGGGCCGGCTCTTCTGGAGGCTCCAGAGGAGACTGTACCTCCGGCCTTCTCCAGCTCCTTGGAGCTGCCTGCATGCCTGGGCCGTAGGCCCCTTCCCCCATCTTCAAGGACAGCAAGGACAAGAGAGTCCTTCCCCCATCAGGTCACCTTGACCTTCTTTTTTGCCTCTGCCTTCCAGTTATAAGGACTCTTGTGGTCCCACTAGGCCCACTCAGATAACATGGAGTAATCTCCATATTTGGAACCTTCATTCCCTCTGCAACATTAATTCCTCTTTGCCATGTGAGGTCACATTGTCATGGCTTGGGGGAACTAGGGCATAGACATCTTTGAGAGCCACTCTTCTGCCTAAAATGACACACAATACATCAAAGCCAAGAACTTTCACATCCTAACAAAGCCGAACTACTTACAGGCCTGAGAGCTGAGGCTGAATAGACTGTGTGAACATATGGGGAAGAGAGATGGTGGCAATGAGAAATGGAAGCGGGTATGCCAGGCAGCCCCAGAGGGATTGTGCCACATGACAGAATAGTGTTATATATGTCATTTCACATATTACTATTGTGGTTCTTTGGCGCTCATAATTTTCCAGGTATTAATCTAGGTGTTTTACAAATTTTATAACTATCAGGTAGGTATTATTACCCCCATTTTATATACGAGGGAGCTGCGACTCAAAAAAACAAAACCCCTTATTTGGAGAGAAATGGCCAATAAGTGGCCAGTGTGCCTGTTGCTCTAAGTCGCTCTGCAATATCACCAAGGTCCAAGAGAGCCAGAAGGCAAGCGTGCAGAGGAGGAGGGGCCCGAGGTGGCTGCCCGAGAGCTCAGCCAGACCTGTCCAGGGTTGGCGCACCCCTGCCGGGGAGACAGGGTGTTAGCCACGAAACTACACCCCCGGTGCGATTTCCCCAAGCAGCTTCCAGAAATGTGGCTGCCTGCGCACACTGTCCACAGGGCTGAGCATGTCCAGATATCCCGAAAGCAAGGCTCCCCGGGAAGGGCTGGGAACTGGCCCTGTGGTTTACACAGGCTTGTGGGTGTGGCGCTCCCAGGTGTCCTTGGAGCGGAGACCGCCTCCACGCCAGCCCCGGCACGGCCAGCCCCGCCCTGGCCGGAGCACTGCCCGCGGCTGTGCCCCCTGGGCGGACTCCCCGCAGCTCCCGTCCGCCTGCACGGCCTTCCTCTGAGGCAGCGGGCACAGCAGCTCCCGCTGCCGCCCCCCTTCCTCAGGCAGAGGTGGCAGAGCAGCGTGCTTGTCCTGGGGAGGCACCTGAGACCAGCGGGCAGCAGGACAGCCGCACGGAGCCTGGTGGTGCCCGGCGGAAGAGGGCGCCCCTCCACGCTGCTGGTGGTTCCACCCCGAGTCTGAGCCCCAGCCTACTCTCGACCTGTCCCCCCCTCCGTGATCATAGGGTGGCCCTGCACACAGTAGGGGCTCCCCAGGGTCCCCATGGCAGGCTCTTGTCACAGGCTGCAGGGCTGTCCCAGTGCTTTGGGGGGGGCCTCGGCCCGGAGAGGTGTCATTGCTGTTCCATGTCCTCAGCTCGCACCCGCCAGGGCTCCTCAGCACCAAGCAGCCTCGGGAGGAGGGCGGGTTGGGGCTCATTAGGCAGCACTTTGGTTTCAGGCTGTATTTTGAAAAGTCTCGTCGCTAATGAGCTGTGCAGAGTGCTGGGGACGAGGAGGCACCAAGAGGGTGTTCACTGGGATTCGGAGAACGGGAAGAATCCCCTGAGTTGTCTAGTTAATCAGGCTTCCGTGAGTTTTTAGAACAAGGTCTTTGAAGACTTTTTGAGCCGTCTGGGAGTGGAGGGGTCTGGGAAAGAACAGAAACCTAGGGGAGACGTGAGAGCTGCTTCAAATATCTAGAGCTTGTCATTTGCAAGAGCCACCAACTTGGTGATCCGGGGAGGAGAGTGAGGACCCACATTCAGAAATCAGAGGCAGCTGGGGGTTGGTCCCGTGGGAGGAGGGAGGTCCTGACAGGGAAGAGCTGCCCGAAGTTGTGTCTGTTGTTTATGTGGGGTGTGTGCTTGTGTGGTCTGTTGTTTGTATGGGGGTGTTGTTTATGTGTTGTGTGTTTGTGTGTTGTATGCTTGTGTGGTNGGCTCCCGCTGCCGCCCCCGTCCTCAGGCAGAGGTGGCAGAGCAGCGTGCTTGTCCTGGGGAGGCACCTGAGACCAGCGGGCAGCAGGACAGCCGCACGGAGCCTGGTGGTGCCCGGCGGAAGAGGGCGCCCCTCCACGCTGCTGGTGGTTCCACCCCGAGTCTGAGCCCCAGCCTGCTCTCGACCTGTCCCCCCCTCCGTGATCATAGGGTGGCCCTGCACACAGTAGGGGCTCCCCAGGGTCCCCATGGCAGGCTCTTGTCACAGGCTGCAGGGCTGTCCCAGTGCTTTGGGGGGGGCCTCGGCCCGGAGAGGTGTCATTGCTGTTCCATGTCCTCAGCTCGCACCCGCCAGGGCTCCTCAGCACCAAGCAGCCTCGGGAGGAGGGTGGGTTGGGGCTCATTAGGCAGCACTTTGGTTTCAGGCTGTATTTTGAAAAGTCTCGTCGCTAATGAGCTGTGCAGAGTGCTGGGGACGAGGAGGCACCAAGAGGGTGTTCACTGGGATTCGGAGAACGGGAAGAATCCCCTGAGTTGTCTAGTTAATCAGGCTTCCGTGAGTTTTTAGAACAAGGTCTTTGAAGACTTTTTGAGCCGTCTGGGAGTGGAGGGGTCTGGGAAAGAACAGAAACCTAGGGGAGACGTGAGAGCTGCTTCAAATATCTAGAGCTTGTCATTTGCAAGAGCCACCAACTTGGTGATCCGGGGAGGAGAGTGAGGACCCACATTCAGAAATCAGAGGCAGCTGGGGGTTGGTCCCGTGGGAGGAGGGAGGTCCTGACAGGGAAGAGCTGCCCGAAGTTGTGTCTGTTGTTTATGTGGGGTGTGTGCTTGTGTGGTCTGTTGTTTGTATGGGGGTGTTGTTTATGTGTTGTGTGTTTGTGTGTTGTATGCTTGTGTGGTGGTGTGGTGTATGCTTGTGTGGTGCTTGTGCTTATGTGGTGGTGTGGTGTGCGGTGTGTGGTGTGTGAATCCAGTTCTAAGGGGCCTGGGGGCTTGGGGTGGGAAGGCGCTTAGCAGCATGTGTCCTGCTGAGTGGTGGGGATGTGGGTGCACCTTGGCAGACGGGGGGGGCCAAGGGAGGTGATCCAATGAGCAGGACCCAGAGCAGAGGCTGACACCCTGTGACATGAGTGAACTGTTTATAGCTGAAGACACCCGGATGCCCCCTGTGGTCTAGGTGAGCAGGGGAGGCTGCTGACTGTACCACACAGCGTGGGGTGGTTCGGAGCCTGGGCTCTGTGGTTGCAAAGCCTCAGTTCAGTCTCTGGCTCCACTGCTGATTCGCTGTGTGATCCTGAGCAAGGTACTAAGCTTTGTACTAAACCTCAGTTTTCTCATCTGTAAAATGGGGTTACTGCGTTCACAGGGTTCTGGGAGGATTGACTGAGACGCTGGCAGGGGTTAAGCTGCGTGCACAGCATGGCTGTCCTGGGTGTTTATGGCTGGGATCCATACCAATGGTTAAATGTTCTGAGTATCACCCTGTGCAGAACATTCTGTAAATCCAGCTGTTATTCTACCCAGTCACTGTTTATCAGAAGTCAACAATCGCTGGCCATGCTGTTCCCCCACCACCCTGGAGAGAAACTTGTTCTCAGAGGCCCAGGGTCTCATGCCACCCCAATGCTCAGCCCTAAACCCCTTCATCAAGACCAGGGTTGGCCAACTGTGGCCTGTGCCTAACTTGTGTGGTCTAAGAGCTAAGNCCTAAGAACTAAGACTATTGTTACATTTTGGAAAGGTTGGGAAAAAAATCAAAAGAAGAGTTATATTTTATGACACAAGAAAAATGCATGGAATTTAAATTTCAGGGCCCATAAGTAGAGTCTACTGGAAGCCCCACCCCATCCCCATATTCCGTACGGTCCACAGCACCTTTATGCAGGCGTGTGAGGCGAACACTGCAACAGAGACTGTGACCTGTGACACCTGCAATACTACCTGGGCCTCGACAGAAAAGGTGCACTAACCTGACCTACATGGATCCTCGACCAGCCCTGACTGCCTCCAGAGGTGCTTGGAGGCTCAGGGTGGGCTGCAGGTGCTGGAGGTATGTGGAAGAGCTGGCCATGTCAGTGTGGCCACATGGGGCAAATTCTGACAGCAATGCCAGGATTGTTTCCTCGTCTTTGCTATTTAAGCAGTGCTCCAACGAGAAGAGACCCAGAATAGAAAGTATCTCACCATTATCCTGATCTGATGCCATCCCCTCTCTCCACAGCACCATCCAGCCCTTATCTGGGGCTGATCCACTGAGCAAGACACCAGCCTCTGACCCCTTGTAAAATTCAAGCACCTGCAGCCCCACAGCCAAGGCCTCAGTGGGCCACGTCCCCTCAATCAGACTCAGTTTCCTAAAACTCTAGGCTGAACTCTATGAAATTGCTGGTTTTGGTTTAAAAAAAAAGAGAGAATGTCAGCAATTTCATGTGGTTCAACCCAACAGAGTATGCATATACACTGAAGCCAATTTGGGGGAAACTTTTTTAATTCTGAGATGTCAGATGGGCTAAGCTTCAAAAAAGAAACTGCTTCCTGGGTGGAGGCACAGGCCAGTGGGGGCTGAGCCCAGTGGCCCACTCTAGGGGTTCCCCACGGTTGAGGGACACAGTATCTCAGTATCTCAGTTGGCTCAGTATCTCATCGGTACTGAAAAATTTCCTGATGAGTCCCTTGTAAATCCCAAACTCAGGACCCAGATGGATTCAGAACATGCAACACACTCCCACTTATTCCCAACTTGTTTTATCTGATGTTCACCTCCAAGATCAGGATCCATGTAGGTGTGGCTAGTGAGGGGTGTCTCGTCAATTTAACCCTCAGGAAACCCCCGCTGTCCCTGCTCCCCAGAGTGGCTGCAGGGTTCACAGGTCACCCCGCACGGAGGTCCTGGAGGATGCAAGCTGACCTCAGCCTTACCTCTCTCGGGGCAGCGGCTTGGGCTCGGGGCGGGCGGCTGTGGAGAAAGGGGCTTGCCTGGAAGGGGAGGAGAAGTTCAGGTCCAAGGAGCCCGCCTTCCTGTGCAGTGGTTCCATTCCCATCGCCCCCTGAATCTCGCTCTCTATGGGGCAGGACCCTGCCCGGCCATGGAGGGATAGTGAGGACACTTCGGGCCCCATCGCGCCTTGGAGTGAGGTGTCCACTGCCGCCTGGGGGTCGTGGGTGGGAGAGATGGACGGTGGGGAGCGAGACTTCTTCTTGGCAGAGGCCCCAGCTAGAAGTTTCAGCAGCCCACTCTTCTTCTCTTTCTGGAAGACACACAACATTGAACCCAGTGAGGGAATGCTTCTTCGCACCCTTGGGTTAGGGAGAGAGGGGGCATATAATCCTTTTGGAAACTTTAAACATAATCTGGTAAAGCTGGTTAGAGTAAGAAAATCAAAGCTAAGATGGAAAGCTTTCTCAACTTCTGTTTTCCTTCCTTTCCCCAAACCAGGCACAAGGGGCGCACGCAGCCCCAGGAGGCCCTGGGCAGGCGGGAAGGCGCCGTGCCCAGGAGGGGTGCGCAGGGGGCTGTCCCTGCGCTGGCGCAGGGCCCGTCCAGCCTGGCACGTCCTGTGCTGTGCCAGGGCACCGGCAGCTGCTAATTTGGTTTCTCCTCGCCCGGTTTTTCTAAGGGACCTCATAGCTGGGGTTAATTATTCTGCCTCACGCTTCCTGAGATGAGCTCCCTCAGCCAAGGGGTCCCAGACACAGGACCCTTTGCAAACTTTCCTCTGCGCACAGGACCTGTACCACACGGGACACCTGCAGTGCGTGCACATGTGTACCCGTGTGTACCTCATACATTCTCCGGGACAGCCACCTGCCGTCCCAGAGCTGAGGATGACTTCTCCATGCCCTGGACTCCTGCACTGGTGAATATCCTGGGGAAACCTCCTTACCCAGCAGGCGGCTATCCTGCCTTCAGGGATGTGACACCATTCAGGACATGGTTCCACACATACAAAGCCAATGACATAATTGGAAGGATTTGCCTTATAAAAATGAGGCCCATCTCAGCGTCATCTCATGAGGATGCCCAGACCCCCCTCCAGGTCTAGAACTCATTCCAATTCTGACAGATGACCTCTGGCACCCACCCTGAGGCCTCGTGCCGGGGGGGACACTCAGCAAGGCTTTGCTAGGACTCTTGGCTCTGCAGGAGCTTCCCCCTTCCTCTCGTGCTGTGTGGGTTCTGAGATGCTTTCCACAGATGCCTGAGAGCCAGGCTGTGGAGGTGACACCAGCCCAGACAAGGACCCAGACAGTGTCCCTGGGTGGCCTGGCACAGTTGTCCTGTCTGCGCTTCTATTTGTCCTGAACTTGGCAGCGCTGGCGTGAGCGGTGTCTGGCCTCGGCCTCCCTGGGCAGTGCTGGCGCGGAGCACGTGGAGTGCGATAATGCTGCCACTGACACTGAGGCTATTCCAGGTGTGGGAGAGAAGAACCGTGTCCTCCCGAGGCTGTGCCACGTGTGTGGGTATGCGTGAGTGTGCACATGCGAGGGAAAAGAGAGGGTGGACACACAGAGAGGTGCTTTTAGAATGATCAGCCTGCCTTGGAATTTGGACATTTGCAAGGCTTTATTGGAATCTAGTTTTCTAATGTCCAATGGAAGTTAGGTGACAGGCAGATATAGGGATATGGTATAAAAGGGTGGCAGTGCACAGAAGTCCGAATCTATACCAATGGGTCAGTGATGGCCACCAAAAGTCTGCTTTGGTCCTAGCTCATCAGATGCTGAGGTGGGCAGATGCGAGATTTCCTATTTTATTGCCTACTTGGTTAGAAGCTACTGGGGGAGTCAGTGTGTTGAGACTTCCTTAAAACACACATATCTGGTAATGTGCATATTCTTAAGCCAAGTCATTAACACTTTAGTATGAACATGTCACATGTTTTCTCTACTCCTAGCACTGATATTAAAAGAAAGGATGGAATTAATATCATTAAAATGTCCATACTACCCAAAGCCACTTATAAATTCAATGCAATTCCTATGAAAATACCAACAGCATATTTCACAGAGCTAGAACAAACATTTCAAAAATTTATATGGAACCAAAAAGGCCCCGAATACCTGCAGCCATCTTGAGAAAAAAGAACAGAGTGGGAGGGATCACATTACCAGACTTCAAACTGTATTACAAAGCCACTGTAATCAAAACGGCCTGGTATTGGTACAATAACAGGCGTATAGATCAATGGAACAGAACAGAGACCCCAGAAATAGACCCATGCCATTATGATCAATTAATATTGGACCATTATGGACCATAATATTGACAAAGGAGGCAAGAGCATCCAATGGAGTAAAGACAGTCTCTTCAATAAGTGGTGCTGGGAAAACTGGACAGATACATGCAAAAGAATGAAACTAGACCACCAACTTTCATCATACACAAAAATAAACTCAAACTGGATAAAAGACTTAAATGTAAGTCACGAAACCATAAAAATCCTGGAAGAAAACATAGGCAGTAAAGTCACAGATACCCCATGTAGTGGAATTTTCACTGATACATCTCCTAGGGCAAGGGAAACAAGAGAAAAAATAAACATGTGGGACTACATCAAACTAAAAAGCTTCTGCACAGCAAAAGAAAACAGCCTCAAAATACAAAGGAACCCCACAGTCTGGGAAAACATATTTGCCAAAGATGTATCTGATAAGGGGCTAATTTCCAAAATGTACAAAGAACTCATAGTACTCAGCAAGAGGAAGACAACCCAATTAAGAAATGGGCAAAGGACCTGAATAGACACTTCTCCAAAGAGGACACACAGATGGCCAAGAGACACATGAGAAAATGCT